ACTAGAGAAACGGTACTGTGTCGGGATTGACATGTATTAGGCTGTGGATAAGAGGAGCAGTAAATACAGTGAATTTGTTTTCTGACTCCTGAAAAATACGTAGTTCTGTACTTTAACTTGGGAGCTTTTTTGTTTTGTATACTAGAAAATGCTGACAGTTTTTCCATTAACTTTCTATAAACATCTTAAGGGTTAAGATCAAAACCAAATAGGGTTACTACATTATTTGAGATCGACTTAAGCATGTTGTGGTTCACTAATAATCATGGTAGCTAACCTTACACTTATCTAGGCAAACATTCTTTCACTGCTTTAGGCTTATTTGGCATTTTTTTAGAAATACTTTGGCATTAAAAAAAGTTAATTTCTTCCCCCCCCGCCCCCGCAAATGAGTGGAGAATAATAAGGGTAAGGAATGAAAAAGTATGGAAGAGTAGGAGTTCATTGTAGGATCTTAAACAGCTATTTCCTGCAAAAGAATGGAAAAGGTATGGCATTTTTAAGTGTTGCTCATATGCTGCAATTCTCTGGAGTACATATTCATGACTTCTTATGTGACCATTGAATTTGTCTTAATGCATGGATTCTACATCCCGTACATAAAATGTAGACACAAAATCACGCAGGCAGATGCAAGTATGTGATCTGAGGATAGGAGATTCTGCCGTGCAACCATATATACTGTCTTTTGGCTTTTGCCAGCATTGCTACAGTGCTGCTTAGGACTTTCCACACAAGCAGGGAATGACACTTTGAAGAAGCAAAGATTGTGGCTATGGAGCATCATCACGTTAAAAACTAGTTAGGCACGATGGGTGGAGAAGTAAGTTGTAGTGTTGAATAAAAGGAGACCATGGAGAGCAGCTTTCTCTGAGTAATGGGCAATCCGTATATCAACAATTCCCTACAATGTCTGGAGAGGTTATTAGGTTCAAGTTAAGTTGTAATGAAAAGGGTGCTTTCAACTTGCAACATGGACTTTGATTATTTTAAGTCTCATTAATACTGTTAGCTAGGAAAGAGGCAGAACTTAGAAGCTCTTCTTTCAGGAGGCATACTCTCCTTGTTTCAAACCTCTCTTCCAGAAGTTCTTTCTGAAGTTATTTGTATGGAATTCATCTCTTGAAATCAGTATCTAACGTCTGCATGTGATTTGGTTTTAGGATGATTCCTCTCCAGAGTTTATTTTTGAATGGAAGGATGCTCTTTTCCAGTAGAAGATGGTGATCCTAATGTATGATCATGGAGAAGGGGATAAGTTCAGTAGAAGTGTTACCTTCCAAATCGTCTCAGGTTACAGCTGTAAAAGTGGTAGTCAAAGAGCCCGAAACAAAGCAAACCCAAAGAGGAAAAAGAGTGGGATTTGTGCTTGTCCATGCAGGTAAGATGCAGAAGCATAACAGCTGGAATGGAAATAATGCATATACAAACTAAATATCGACTAAAATTTTATATTGACTTCAGACTACTAGTATGTTAATGAAGTGACATTAACTTTGGGTGTAAATCTGGGAGTGAAGAATTTGATTGGAAGTTGGAGACTGGAGGATCTTGGAAATTGTTATAAAAATGTAGGGGTTTGGGTGTTCTGAATGGGATTTTTTTTTTTTTTTTCCCCTCCTTGACAAAGAAAACCACAAACAAAATCCCTGAAGCAAATGGTTATAAAATGTCAGATACTGGAGTTATCTGCTAAGCTTGGGAAATCTGCAAAATGTGAGAAATCTTTCAGTCTGTTTCCTTACCCTACAGAAAGGTCAGACATAGCTGTTTCATTACTGACAGTTTCTTGTCTAGCTTGTCCATAAGGACAGTCTAGTTAAGACTTTTTGAAACCTCCTTAGGCTATTTGTTGCAGAATTTCACTTTTTTTTACCTTTTTGAAAGTTTTCCTCCAAGCCTAATTTTTTTTTTATATTGTTCGTATTTAAGTGAATTGCTATTTATTTTTTCCACATGTAATGAAGAGGTCATCTACTTAGATGTGATACAAAAATGATGTGTTATGTGTGTCTTGTTCATAAATTCTTTTCTAATAGGTTCTTTCTTAAATACTGTTAATCTTGAAAATATTAGTGATGCTTATATCGGGCTGTATATTTGTCTTTAGCATATGTGTGATGACATGAGGTGAAATTGAGCAAAATAGCCTGGTGACACCTAAAATATTGGAGAAACCAACGTGCTACTTGGCTTATAAAATCCTTAAGCTAAAAAAACCCCACCGAAACCTTCAAAGAACTTACTCTGGTTTGATATTTGATGACCCTGGTATTCTGTCTTAATAGCAAATAGAGTTGTTCAATATGTGGTCCTTTACTGGGTTACTTTGTTTAAAATTCTTTTTCTTTCACTAGTAGTGTTAAAACTTATTTTGTTAGAGTTTCTCAAAGCTAACATTTCTAGAGGTGAGGAAAGGGAAGTTGAGATAAATACAAGCATATTTTTCAAGTTCAAAAACCAAGAAAACAGAAGATGGAATTTAAATATCAGTGTGCTAGTCTTCTCTGTTATTTTTCTGATGCTGTATTTAGTCAAATAGTGGGCACTGATAAATTTTTCAGGTATGGAAGTAGGGGGCAGTGGCTACGAACCAGGGAAAAATGGTTAGATGCAACAGGATAGACATAAAGCCTGAAAATGAGGAAAAAGGTGAAAAAAAATTGTATGATCTTTATTTCCAGGAACTCTTCTGGTTCTAAAGCAGGAGTAATGAGCTCTAAAAATGTAGCATAAACATGAGAAGATGAACAGGATGGTAATTGCAAACTTGCAAGTCAGCAGTAATAGGAAAATTGGAGTTTGACTTAAAAGTAAGGTTTTGCCCAATATGGACAATAAGTAGAAAAGCTATGCTGGAATAAGAATGGGCAAAACTGGAATCTCTTGGAGAATGTTTATAGGAACAGATTGTATGACACAGATTTATACCTGTATGCTTCTGCATATTTGCTTTGTATCCTGTAGTTTACAGAGTGTATTTGAATTAATGTTGGGATGCGTAAAGTTGTCAGTCGTCAGTACAAAAAGGAAATGCCAATGTAATCCAGAATAAGGAAGGCTGTATCTGTATGTTAATTCTTTATGTGAACTCTAGGCTGTAGTTTGGCAGGTAGTGTCATCTCTTTTCCTTTTGCCTTAATTGTAGGTGCAGGTTATCATTCCGAATCCAAAGCTAAAGAATACAAGCATGTGTGCAAAAGAGCCTGTCAGAAGGTATGTCTTACCAGCTCCACACTCTTGTGGTAGGTGTACAAGAAATATATTCAGTAGCACTGTCCCTTCAGTATGAATGGGCATATCTGGGTTTAGCTACCCAGGCTGTCTGCGTTTCTAGAGGAAAAACGGAGCAGCAACAGTTAACATGATGTAGAGTCAATAGAGTACGTGGCCATGAAGTGCAGCAACATTCTCATCAGTGGTGGTAAACAGCAGATGCTAAAGGAACAATGGGGAACAGGAGAAGGTCACAGTGGTACCTACACAGAGTATTCCTACAACTTCCTGCACTGTTCCCAAGGCTCTGGGATTTCTGGAGCTCGGTATGGTGTCTGGATTTTTCTTTCATCAATATCTACTCTTTTTGGAATGTATTTAAAACTAGCATCCAGATTGCTCCATGAATGCAGGGATTTCTATAATTCTTTTCTTCTTGATAGCTGTTAACTTCTTAATAGGAGGGGAGGTAGAACCAGGAAAAACAAAACAAAAAATCAAACCCCTCTTCCCAAAGCTGGAAAAGGAGAAATGGCAAGACTTTAATTTCCATTGAAATTATTTTTTTTTAATCTGCTCCAAGAACTTAGCTTTGGAACTGGCAAGTCCTGTCTCCTAAGTGTTGAATGAGAAGCTGGAAGGCGTGTCTCCAAAATTTCTCATGTCTTTTGCTTTCTCCAGGGAGAAGGAGCTGGGGAGCTTGGCAGGCTTTTTAGAAGAGTCTCAGAGTTGGCCTCTGATAATTATCACTTCATTTTACAGTTCTGTTGCTCAATCCTAATACCGATCTAAATTTTGTAATGAGAAGCCCCAGAAATCATCCAAACTTAATACTAGCTTTATTGAAGTTGTGCATTAGCCCTGATGATATTCGTTTCCAGCTAATTATGTATGAAAAAAGGTTGTTTGCTGTTGAATTTAAGTCTAATTGGAGATTCCATTTGGTTCCTTAAGCTAGGTAGCCCACATACACATCTTGCATGAAGAACAAACAGTCGCAGGTTTGTCTTGCAACTGAAGATGTAGCCATAGTTGTTTTCTGGGGTTTCCTGAGAGAACATGACTGCAAGGTCTTGTCCAGTATGGATCTAACAAATCATTAGGGTCTAGAATTTCATTTCTCTGTGTGTATATAATTTGAAGATAACATTATCTGATTTGATTTGTTTTCGTGTGTTGGCTTTTAGATGAGCTTCCGTGTATATTCTGTTAAATTTCATGAGAATTGCCATATATGATATGATACTAGGGATTTTTGTTGAATCTTGGAAGGCAAATTAGAAACTTCTTGACTGAAACATTAAGTGTTTGAAGACAGCAGGTATAAGAATTTATTTTGCTATAAATTTGACCATGCAGGAATCTGCTACTAAATGCAGTGTCCCAGTGTCGGAGTAGTAAAATCATGCCCTCAGATCTGCCCTCACACGGTGCACACTGACTATGTCCAGTCCCTCTTGTTTTTATGTCCTCTTACATTGTAAAACTAATTTGGTGATGATTTTTGTTTTGTACAGGACTAGGAAAATGTAGGGCTTAGTCACAGAATATTAGAATTTCCTAATAATCAATGAAAAATTCTGCTTTACAGGCAATTGAAAAGCTACAGGCTGGTGCTCTTGCAACAGATGCAGTGACTGCAGCACTTATAGAATTAGAGGTATGAATTTCTTACTAGTAGTAAATATGTCTCTCGGGTACATTGCCAGATTTTTCTGTAAGAAGGTATTAATTCATACAGGAAATCGACTGAGATTTCCATTTTTGTGCTACCCTAATTTTATCTTTTGCTTTTCTACTATATTTTGGAGTAAATTTATTTAAAGACTTTCTAAAAATGCAAACTGAATAAAAGTTGTCTAGTTGGTGCTATTTGGTTGTCATCTTAGGTATGCCTTATCAGATAGTCTTTAACTTTCAGGAATAAGTACAGTCATTAAAGACTTATTGTACACGTTCTAGGGAACTTTTTCTGACTTACCGAGCTACAGGCAGATTGTACTGGCTCTGCTTCTTAGGGAAAAAAAATCATGCTACTGGTCACATATGTTAACTAGAAGTTCTGGGATTAGTCCTCATTGCTTTTGTTTGCATTAAAATCTCATGTGAAGTTATGCTTCATTTCTTGAAATTATGATCCAAAGAGTTTAGATGTAGTTAGTCTTTAGTAGTTCTACTAACACTGTCATGTAGTAATTTTATTGAGGTAACTGTCTCCGAGTATGCTTTCTTGGGTTGTGTTATTCACACCTTTTTCAGTTCTTCAGGATAATGCTACAAAAGTGATTGCATAAATTTAACACTGCTTGTCTCTCCATCCAGTTAAAGGACTCTGTGAAAAAGAAGTAGAAATTTTAAGTTCTCATTTGTCCCACAACATACTTCTGCTATGCGCTTAAATTAATGCAGTTCCCAAAGGCTTTTCTTACATTTTTTTACTTTGTATCTGTATGATCTCTGGTAGAATAAGAGACTAGAAGCAGGGTGTTCAGAGAAATAGGACTTCAGTGTAAGGTAATGCTTTTTTCTGATTTTTATGACGAAACGTGTAGAGGAGTAGGGCAAGTAATGCTTTTATTTCAAAATGGTACTTGTTAATAAAGATAGAAAGTCTTGATAATCATAAAGAGATGAGCAGCTGTTTGTGAGGTTTTTGGAAAAGTGTCTTTTTGAAGTGGTTATGTTTTTATACCATCTGACTTTAGTGAAGGGTCCCCTAATGAAATAATGTAGAAGAGAGTAAAGCTAAAAGAATTTCTGGGCTATAAATGAGGCAGTTTGGTTATTGTCCCAGGTCCACTAGTCTCTCATGGTAGTAATGATTGAAACAGGTATTCCTCTTCTCCTGTAAGGAGTAATTGCTTCTTCCTATCCAACTTTATTAGTAAAGAAGGAAAGCAAGGTAAGTGGTGTGCTGTAAAAATAATTTCCTGGGTTTGAAATTTATGGTAGTATTCTGAGAGGATTAGCAGTGGATTTGCTTACACATATGTTGGGAAAGTGTTAATTAACATACTTGATAGGGTTAGCGTAAGGCAGGCAGTACATACTTTAATATGTGTTAGACATGCTGACTGGGAGCCAAGACTTCGGTCATACTTTTAACTTGGCAAGCTTCTTGGCTTTAAACAGTACTTTTGTTCTCCACTGAACTGTTCAAATATGCTTTCATGTGTTATCTTACACATTAAAATATAGCTAGGTGAAAACAAAAGATATCTTTCTAATGGAATTATTTATAATGCACTTCCATAAACTAACTGAGGCTGCTGTTACTCCACAAGATTGTTTTGTGTGTCAGTTCCCTCCTCAGTGTGTGTGTGTGGGGGGAATCTTTTTGTTGTGAGTTTTATCGTGTTCCTGAGCTACACAGAAGAAAACATATTTTAAGAAGCTTAACAGTTATGAATCTCTTTGCAGCTGTGCCTGGGGTAAATATTTTATCTGGTTTTGTTATCCCCAAGAGACTTTTTTTCTTTTACTTTAGTAGATTTAAATACTCTGAAGTGACATCTGTGTAAGAAGGTAAAATTAAAACCTTTTTATGAAATTACTCCAATCAGAAACCTTTTTCTCCTCATCTGTCTTGCTACTATTGTGGTGATGCCTGCTATCATTCCACTTCCTGGTTTTATAATTTTCTTAGGTAGTATTTTTGTGTGCACTGTGGCACAAAACCTGTTTTTTTTCCTTTTTCCTGTTTTTAAGATTAAGTATTATTTTGTTCAGGTTGTACTGCTGCCATTAATTATTGGCGTTCATTTATTCATTAAGTGATTTATATAACCTCTTAATCGTGGGTTGTTCTCTGTTACTGGGGTAAAGAATATTGAATTTGGGATTTGGGCTTCTTTTAAATTAAAGTATGTAGCTATGCAGTTACATTGAGGAAAAAAATCAAAGGTATACTCAAAACGGAAAATAGTGTAGTTTGCAGTGGTAGTTTTTTGGATCTGGTATGAGAAATTCCAAAGTGTTAGACTGTCAGCTTCAAAATGCTGAAAGCTTTGTATCTACTCATATCTCATTCTGAACACTACCTCCAGACATCTCTTGTCGTTTCTGGAGCTGCATCTTCTGTTTTAATTCTGATGTTTTTCATCTGTGGAAAACAGAAACTGTACGTGGCAAGTCAATAAAGCAAACAGAATAGTCTTTCTCATCAATTACAAAATTTTATGGGTAAAAATGTACGTTTATATGTTGACTGTCTCTCTAATGAGCTATCACTACACTGTTTACGCAGGAAAAAATAGTGACTTTTTGTAAATTACTTTAGCATTTCAAGTTGGCAAATACATAGGGAAAATCTGTATGAAAACAATGTTTGTTTACATGTGTCACTGTAATACAGATTAAGATACAGAACAACAACAGTTTGCGTAACATGTGGTAACATATTCCATTGTGGAGTAGTCTTTGCAACTTCTTGATATTTTGATTGCTGTAGAACACATTGCTGTGAGTTTATCTGAAATACTTAATCACTTCTACAGTTCTCTAGGACTTTTAATGCTGTATTCCAAAAATCTGTAGTCTTTGCAAGGCACAAATAATTTTTCGTGGAAGTGTCACAAAAGATGAATTTTGTTCCTCAGTTCCGCTCAATTACACAACTCCTATTACACAGAATTTCAGCTAATCCAAGAGGCATCACTTCAAAGACTTGTTGAGGCGCAAGACTTGCTCTTGATCTTTTATGAGCAAGCTGACAGTTTGCTTGTGGTATGCTGTCTGTTTTTTGTTTTATTTTTGCAGGCTCTAAATGGAGAAAGAACAGCCTTTCTTTGTTGGACTATATGAATCTCAAGTGAAATAGTGTTCTGTGATTAAGATAATAATGCTAACAGTCCACTAGAGAAAAGATGGATTTCTTTTGCAAAGTAACAAGAGCAGCTGACCCAGAATACTGTTAAAATAACTGTGCTGGTCTTTGTGAGCATCAGCTGTGTTTGATAAGCTGATTAAAGGCAGTTATGTTTTCCAGTTTGTGAACTCTGTCATTGCAGAAAAACAAATGAACACGTTACCTCTTTCAGCTTTTGGTAATAAAATGGGTCTGGACAAGGTGCTTCATAAGACTTATCATTTACACTGTATGCTTCTACAAAGATGTTACTGCCGTACCGTTTCTTTTTGCGCTCTTGTTGTTGGCCACCATATGAAGTCTGAGTTTCTCTTGAAACACAAAGGGATTTGGGCAGCTTTTTCTTTGGGGGGGAGGAGGTCTCCCTCCACACATGCCCCCCCTTAAAACTTGCAGTTTTCAACAAAACCACATGCTGATTGCATTTATGGCTGGCTGTGAGAACGATGTGCCATTTCAAGCTTTTCTTTGACTATAGAGCACTTCAGAAAGTCTACTGTTCACGTACTGGAGGCAAGAACATAAGTTTGTTGTAAAGGAGGATGAAGATTTCAAACTTTTTCGAAGTTTTGTCTAAGTTTGTTAATACTGTGTGTAGATCACTTGTTTCTTTAATCTGACTTCAGTATAATGTTTAAATGCACATCATTTAAATGGGAAGTTAACATGACTGATGGGGAAGCAGATGTCGCATTTTGGGTTTAGATCTCCTTGCTACTGGAATTGCTCAATTTACTTTGCTTTTTTTTTTTTTTTTTTGGTGGTTGTGGATCAATGCAAAGGGTATTTTGAACTTGTTAGTATACTCAAGCAGTGGGCTTGCATGGCTGTCAGCGAAATTTTGCAGTGAAAGAACTTGTTTCTTGTTGAATTCTTTTTTCTTTATTTATTAATTTTATAGTAATTAAGATTTTTGAATATACAATCTTAGTCGCAAGGACTTCTCTTTAAAGATGAAAGCAGAATGCCAGCAGCCTTGTTGTATTAAGGCAGTCACCATAGATGAACTTTTAATGGGTAATGAACTGGAAGTTGTTAATTCTAGTTAAAAGCAGTACTATGATGTTTTGTAGCAGAGTGGCTAACAGTAATCTGTGACAAAAGTGTTCTTTGAAAACATTTTAGCTGGTGTAATTGAAAGGGACATGACTCATCCTTGTAGACTATTACTTCTTGTCACTAAATTCCCACAGAAAAATAAATTTTAAAATTACAGTGTGTAAAAAGAAATGTCTGTAGACTTCGACTCCCTTTCAAAAGTTGCAAATAAACCATGGCCAAAACTGTATTGAAGATGGATGGAATGTTATTTAATGCATGTTGAAAATAGAGTGTTTTAACTATTTGCCTAGATGTAATTCAGGACTATTAGTGTTATGGTGTTGAGTAACTTCTTCAAGCGTTCCAACTTTGACCGCAGCTAGAAACTTCAGCATGCCTGTGTTTGCTGCCAGAACATTTATAAATACATCTTGAAGTAAAAAGGATTCTAAAAATAAAATGGTACCCTCAGTAGCTTCAGAGTTCTTACAAGATGGGTAACTTGGGGAAATGAAACTCATTTCACGTCTTAAAGCTTTGTATTGTCTCCTTTGCTACAGGCTTACCTTGTAAGTTAGAGATACTTCAGTGGTGGAGTAATCGCCGGGTAGTCTAGTATTCTTCACATAACTGAAAGCTTATGTTTTGTTAAATGCTTTGAATAGCCGTTCGTTTGTCTTTTCCTTCTTCTTTTTTAACTTTCTATGGTAGTAGGGCTTGCTGTTAACATGCAAAGCTCATGCTTGGTTTGCTTTCTTGTCTTTTTTTCAGTCTCCTTAGAAATATAAAGGCTGATCTCTGCTTGTGTTTTTAAATAGAAGTATTTTCCTGAAGATACCTTCTGTATTATAAACATTTTCCTCCTTTCCCTTCCTCCTTCTTCTTGGATATGTGCTTTGATTGGATCCTTCCCCATCCTACAGTAGTCATATAGTTCTTGCAGTACTGTATTTTTCTGTCTGAGGGTGTGGAAAGGCTGCTTCAGTTGGCTCAGTTTATTTTCTTCCCCCTTTGAAAGCGTGCAGGCCTCTGTTTTAATAATGTTTCTGCATTCCTTGAAGGCTTTGAATTTTCATTTCAAAATACACCTTAATTTTCGTAAGTTGTATTCCTCCATTTGTATATCAGAGTCTTGAAATCTTTTGGTCAGATGTTGCAGAGATTCATGTTTTCAAAAGGAGAGGTATTTGTGTGGTGCATTTCATGTCCTTGCCTATTCACAGAAGTAGGTGTGAATTTCTGTTTCCATTTTTTTTATAAAGGTTTTTCCCTGCCTCCTTTCAAAGGCTTTATATCTCATCTCAGAGACACTCAGATAGGTATCAAAAATTCCATGCGTTCACACCCAGTTCTTGCACTGTCTAAAGCTGTTATGAGATCATCTTTCGGATCTGTGAAGTTAGAGTAGACCATCTTCCTCTTGGCAATTGTGCGACCATCTACTTGACTGAATTCAGTCTGATTGTGAAGCTAAGTAAAGCTCCACAGAAATTTTGTGCTTGGAATTTGGTCTTCATTTCTTTTTACTGGAGAAGTTACTTGTGTTGCGACCGGTTGTACTGTTAAGATTCCGAGTCCTAAAATGAAAGACTTATGCCACCAAAGAGGCATCTACAATTTTGTTGGTGTGGAGTTCTTATTTATCCAATATTCTGTAGTAGTCTGATAAATACTCTGTAGGGAGAAACAGGTGGCATTCCCTTTGTCTTGAGATCCTCTGAATAAGTTTTCTCTTAGTGCATCCTTGATGTTGTGCCAGTGAAGGTGCTATGTCAAAGCATCAAGCACATCTAGATTTTTTAGAACTAAGGTGAACAGTGCCACTTGTATTTTTGTATCTTGTATTTTTTCCCTACCCTCTTTTGATTGTTATGTTTATCAGGTGGTAGAGAGCTTTGTGTCTTGGCTGCGGGAGGGTTCTGGACAGTGTTACCAGGACTTCTGTTCTGATGGGTCCTTCTTACTCCCTTTATTTGGCCATGACATCTGCTCTTAAGATAACAGCTGTCTTTGCTTTGTGGCAGTGACAAATCTGTCGAGCATGAAATTCTTCCTCTTTGCTAATGCTTTTGAGTATAATGCACTGAGTGAATGTTTTTGGAACAGAACATTGGAAATTTGTCTCCAGGCTTGCAGGTCTATGCACTCTGATTACCCATGGGCAAGGAACTTGGACAGCACTGGGAGTAAGCATAGTTCATCCTAACACATTCCTGTTTTTACTTTTGTCCTCCAAGTACCTTTCACCGTTCGCGTTCAGATTCCTTCCATCACTTCTCTGCTCCTTTTGTTCAAAACTTCACTGACTTAATTGTCTTTGTACTTGTAGAGCCTGGGGAGCAATGAAGTCGCTTAACCCAGCGGCTGTTCTGCAGCCTTCCACATTTTCAAGGCCATCATCTTGGTAGCGTTTTTTTAATCATATCCCTCCCCTTGCCCCAGGGAAAGTTATTCCCTGTGCACTAAACTGCAAATGTTTCATTATCCTAAAATCTTTTCAAATTTACTTATTTGATGTGAGGCCTAGCTGTCAAAATGAACAATGCAATGAATATACACAGTGAATTTGAAGATCTGTTGCGGTGTGGGATAAAATGGGTTAAATCTTGTGCTACTTCTTGGATGCAGAAGGAAAAAGCAGGAAGTAAAGATGCGTAGTATGAAATGAACATGGAGAGATTACAGTCTGTCTCGTGATTATGTATTAATTGTGTATTACGTATTCATGATTCTTCAGGAAGATAGCATTTTGGTGACTCACGCTAAGAACGTTTTAAATACCTCTGTAAATTAGAATCAACATCTCGCAAGACAGGTTTTGAATTTACTCACTTCTTGCTCGTTTGAAAGCTAACAAAAGCTAACTGACTAACATCAAACTTCTTTTTCATTTCTGTGTTCTCTCTGTTTCCTTGTATTCATTACAAATTAGTATGTACAAAAAGAACCAGTTCACTTAAATGTTAAGACAGAACGTCGAGCTGTTTCCAGTAGATTTCTTTCCTGATTCAGCTTATATTACCTGTACTGTAATAGTATGACCATCCAGTTTCATTGACGTGTTCACATGTGTTCTAGACAGCCATTTTCTTCATCGCATCAGGTTGTTATGCTGTTGTAATAAAAACAGATATGAAACTCTGAAAGCGTGCAGCATCTCTCTGAAATGTTAATGTTTGGCTGTTCTGGGCTGTTCTCTTTCTTTGTCCTGTACTCCATTTTGTGCTTGCGTCTAGAAAGAGGGGGTTATATTGAGCTAACAGTGAGACTCCTGAACTGCACTACTTTAAAACTTTGTGTTTTTAAAGTCATGGGAATGCTCTGATGAAATGGGGGGGCAAAAATGGGTGCTTTTAATTCTAGCATGTAAAACTTCCTGTTTGAGAACCTTGAGTTTGCAAAAAGCTACAAAGGGTGCTTATAAAAGAGAAGTTAGTTTTTAATTAGTTTATTAAATGCTGTTCTGTGCTTTCTATGAAATATGTTTTGGTTAAAATTCCTGATCACAGTAATGACTGTCCTTATGCTAATGATCGAATAGATATTTTACAACGTGAATTGTTACTGGTGCCGATTCTTAATTTCTGTGTGCAGAGCTACAAACATAGGCTTAGAATCTTGATGAAAGGTACAGTTGTGTTTTGCTGCTGTGTCATACTTCAGAGTTTCAAAGGTAGACTGTGGTCTGTGCAGTGATTATTAGATGTTCCTTAAATTGACTGACAGGTTAGGGACCAAATGAAGTGTGTATGTTGGGGGAGGGAAGAAGAAAGAGATTTTCACTTGTGTTGTAAGGCTTTTGCTTGCATATAAATGATCATCTTAAGTTGCTGGGTGATTGGTTTTTACATTAGCGCATTATTACACTTGAGATATATCACACCCTTTATAGGGTGTAAGGTGTCCGTTATAGTAATTTGAGATGCCGTGTTCAAATTGCTGTTGATTTTGTTGTGGAAGATTAATCTACTAGACTAAGAAAGTGCACTGCACCAAGATCAGTATTGTCAGTTCAGTTATGCAAAAGTTTTGATCTAGTTTGTTAAGGATGTGGCCTTATAGTGTTTTGTTCTTGTTTTTAGGATTCTCCTTTTACAAATGCAGGATTGGGGTCTAACCTAAACCTTCTGGGTGAGATAGAATGTGATGCCAGTATAATGGATGGAAAGTCATTAAATTTTGGAGCAGTTGGAGCACTGAGTGGTATGTTAACTATATATTATAAAGCTAAGTACTGATTTAAGTGCAAAGATCAATTTTGTTCTTTTTTGTTACTTTTTCAGAGGCGGGGGGGCGTTGTAAATACTGCCCTGTTCAAATAAATTCTGCCGCCTTTAAAAAAGAGGGGGGCATTCATGGTCCCTGAAAGACTGTTTTGTGTGAGTTTGTTCTGTGTAACATATTGTCTTATTAGTTCACTGGTAATCCTTTCATGCAGAACAATCATATGATACTATACAGTATTCACAATGGGAGTGAGTTTGCTCAGATGGATTTGTAGAATGATAACTTTATTATAAAATGCAATTATTAAAAGAATATTACAAGCACTTAAATTAGGCTTTATATTTGGTTTTGTTCTCCATCTTCAATCCTTACTGGTCTGTAATTCAATCATAAGGTCAATTGATATTTTGGTCTCTTAGTCAAGTTAGTCAAATTAGGATCATAAGGGACCAAAGTTTCGTTTATAGTGTCAGAAGGCTATGCAGGGTGCTAGCCTCCAAACTGAAGCCCCTCATATATTCTTGAGAATGGGTGCAGCTGCTCTTCTGTTGAGCTGTTTGCTTGGGATGTAAAATTTCTGTATACTGTAGATTTTTTCATTATAATTTCTCTCACGTGATCAGTTACATTTAGATTTATGATGCGTGTTACTGTCACAAGGTTAGATACGTTTGTGTATGGGATTTATTTAATCTGAGAACTAATGTGCTTCTCTTTTTTTTTTTTGTTGTTGTTGTCTGGTTTTAGCTTTCAGTACAAAACAAATACAGGTATATAGTCCCAAATAGGGATTGTTGAGGTTTTGTCTTAAGTACATGGAACAGCCTTAACTGTTACTGTTGAATAGCTTTTCTGACAACATATCGCGCTTTGTTCTTTATCCTAGAATAGTTCCAAACCCTGGTAATAACATCCTCATGTAGATATAAATCTAAAATAAATAGTAAAATTAAGTGTTTCAAGGCTTGTTTGTCACAAAATGTATCCTATCCTTCCAACCATGGGGAAGGAGGAAATGAGGGAGTGAGAGAAAGCTAAGCCTGAATCGTATAATCCCTGTTCTGGCCAGATAGATCCAAATGGAAGCTCTTTCCATCTTGAAAAATTAATGCTCATAAAACATCTTTGGCCTGTAGAATACCATAGACTTAATTTGAGATGTCTGTGGTAGGAGGTCACTCCTAATATTTCAATATGATTCATTCTTTTTTAAATATGATTCATTTAAAAAAAAAAAAAAAAAAGGTATGGGGTGTTGATTAGAAGGCTTTGTTGCTACTGGTAGGACATGTGAAGGAAAAACTGATACAGTTGTTAAATTGAAGCATAACATAAGGTGTCTCTTAATGACTTGGCAAAGCCTTGGAAATTAAAGGAAGCTGAGTTCCATTGCCAAAATGAGCATTACAATGCTATGTGGAAAAATATTTTAATGTTTTGTTCCCATTTTTTGCTAATTTTTCTTTTCAGGAATCAAGAATCCAGTTTCAGTTGCAAATAGATTGTTGTGTGAAGGGCAGAAGGGAAAACTCTCTGCTGGCAGAATTCCACCTTGGTAATTGCTTTGTTCTGCTTGACTTTACTTTGGTCTTTCGTCTCTACTGCATGCAATATTTGAAGGTTATAATCTTATCCCAAGAAGGCAGGTGCTGTTTTACATACCAGTTATAGTTTGCCTTTAAAAAGAAGATAAGCTCTGTTCTCTGATCTTGAAACATCTTGTGCACTTGATGAAGCTGTGGGTAGAATGAACTATTGTGATTAGATGGCAACATCATTTTGTGATAATCTGTGTGATTATTTCCAGTTATGTCACACTGAATTCTTACATTTGTTACTGTAGCACTTTGACAAATCCCTAAATACATCAAGATTAATATGAAATTCTACTGCCATTGACTCTGTCTTCCTTTATGAAAAGCAACATAGTTTAACAAGTATATAAAAGAATCCTACTATACTGCCTGTCTTTGGCTTTATTTTGTAGCTATCGTGTGGAGGTGTGCAGTGTTTAGTAACTTCCTCTTATCTTCGCCAAAACGGGAAGTTATTCTAAAGATAAATTTAATAGTATTTACAACAACAATGAAAACATGCACTCCTTTATTGAGATGGCCATAATACTGAGATGGAAGAGGTAACTGTTAAATGCATAACAATTTTAAATATTATTGCATAATTTTGGGAAGAATCCAAGAAATGTGTCAGAACTGATTGCTCTTAAAACCACCTTATCTTCATTAGCAGCTTAAATTGACAAGTAGAGAACTCGAATGATTCATTCATATTAGTTGACTGCTATCCTCAGTTATTGTATCTATTGCAGAAGGTTGCTACCATTTGCTAACTAATGGACTACGGTATTTGCAAATGTATGAAACCAGCATTTATGTAATTTAAAATATGTATGTTTAGATTCATTAATTTTACTTGCCTTACTATGTTATTTTTATTCTGTAAAATTAGCCAAATAGTCTGTAGCTGGATGGTATAGTATTCCGATTTAAACAGTGAGGAAGACACTATTTCAGTGTTCTATCATGCTGCAAAGAAAGTTCATAGATCAAAAAAACCCATCCTGAAACCAAACCATCAACAAGTAGATTTTGCATTTAAAACTCTTTTCTTTAATGAAGAAAAAAAAGAGTAACTGTAGTTAGTGAGGCAACTTTTTTTTTCAGAGAAGTTTACTAAGGAATTTGAATTTCAATTGCTGTTAGGAGCTCATTTCTTCAGATGTCAGGAGAAAGTGGGGCCTAGCTGCTGTACATTAAAGAGTGTGTCAAATGAGGTGGGGTTTTTTGGTGTTCCAGAACTAGTACTGAAGCCAGCTACAGGAGCAAGCACTTGTGATTTAGTTTTGTCTGTATCATCACAGTGTTTTCTCAAATTGTTGTAAGGAAGAGCACTTGGGCATTTTAGCATGTTTGCTGTAACTTCATGTCCTAGTTTATGCTGCTATTATTTTAAAAATAACTGAATGGAAAAGAAACTATATCTGCCTGCCCTCAAAGGACAAGACTAAATCTTTCAAACACTGTGCAGGGTCTTAGCTAACAGATGTTTAAAGGCAAGGGAGCTCAAACTCGAGGTGAGAGGCAAACTGTCGTTGGAGCCAATGCATACAGTTTACTGTGCAAGTGTTGTGGACCTGAGTTACCTAATACATATTTTCTTTTCCTTTTTCCCATTCTGGATTTTGAATGTATATTTTATTAGAGCTAATTAGTTACCCTGGGAACGATCTATACTAGTGGGATATGATGGGTCATGCTTTAGACTTGCTTTGGTAGATGCTCTTGTATATACAGGGTGTCCCAAGTTCAGAATGATAGAGTTCATGTTCACTGTAGGTGATGACTATTGGCAATTTCATGCCTTGCCTTTCTGGCAGGGTTTGGCATGACACATTGTTTTGGGACTGAAATACATTCCTGCACAAGGTGGAAATATATATAGTCAAATGACAAGAGAGCAGCTGTATTTTGGCATTCCTACCAAGTGTCAGTATTTTAGTAACTGATTTTTATTTGTAAAGATATGCAAGTTTTATCTTGTTTCTTGTGGGGAAAATAGTGTATTGGGGAATCTGCCTGATACTACTTAGCTTAAAAACCTGTCTTGTTAAAGAAACCTAGCGGTAGAGACTGTTTCTATAACATGCTCTAAGATAGTTTAATGTTTTCTGGCCGGAATGTTTGGCACATGACCACACAAGAAAAATTTAGGAACTGTGAGATCAATAGAAGTGGTGTTATGGAGATTCTTGTCTATAAAAGAACACATGGAGGAAGTTAGTTTGGCCTGTTTATCCCTATTCAGCACCAGTTTTTATAGTGACAGTTCAAAACTAATTCAAAGTGGTACACTTATTTTCAGTAGAAGAAATTCTAATGAGTGTGAATTAATTTATTCTGAGATGGTAAGCTTATTGGGAAGGAGTGATCAGGTATCCTAACTGATGTATCCAATTTGCTGTAAATCGCTCTGTAAAGTATGTCATTCTGGGTCAATATCTTGTCATCTTGTTTAAAACACAGAATCCCACTATCCAAATTAAAATTTAAAAAGTTTAAAGTAGAGAATCCCTGAATGCATGAGTGCATTTGTTGAAACTTCTAAGGTCCTTGCATCTTTCAGTCATATTTTATTTAGCTCGATTGTTGTCAGGATTTTCTCTGCCTATGTAGGCAGGAACAGCAAGTACTGAACTTGTAAATGTTACATATTATCATACAAGATATTCCTGTTCATTGTATAACTTTACAAAAGAAAGCACTATTATAATTGCACAGTTACATATTGGATGGATCTTTGGAAGTGGTTTTTGGTCACAGAATAATGTATTAGATGTTTTGTAGTAATGGGTTTGAAGATTTTCTACTTCTTATGCTGAAACCTTGACCTTACTAAGGGAAAAGGCTTATTTATATACCTCTGTTTACTATTAAGTGTAGATATGTAAGAATTGCAGGATGGTACAGATACACCTAAATGTGTCCTTTCATAGAACTCCCTAGTACTACTGATATCAAAGTTCATGTCTGTATCCCTTTTTCCATATTAATAGTAAGCCATATAGAAAGAATCCCTTCTTAGGTCCGCCCCCCCTTTGGGTATACAGGGATTTGCAATTGCTTCACAGTTTTACAGTCCTGTAGGCAGGGTATGTACATTGTGTAACTTGTAGGGCAGTGCGTAGTCAAGAAAAGTGCCTAGAGTGAATGAAGACTTGCACCACCTTTTATCTCTGTCCTATGTTTCTTCAGAACAATTTCTCCTTTGTGACTTCAGAGTGATTGCTGCATTTTACAATAAATGTTACAAAGTGAGTTTGTTACATTCACGATCGCCTTGACCATCTTTAATGAACTTTCTGCCACTTGTTTAGCTTGGTGTGGCCTGTCTCCCTACAGCCCATATTAAATGGTCCCGTTTGGAACAAACACCACCAGGATAACCATGTTCTTGGAGAAAATTGCCTAAAAAGACCATTTTTGGAGACCTTTACTTGCATTTTCCATGAATATGGTCTAGTTTGCCTGGAACGGGAAAGTGCATTCAAGCATCGGCTCCTTGCTGGCAGCATGTTTTCGTCTTCTGTGTGTTCTGAGCTTGTTAACAACTATGGAGTACTCTTTGTTTGATATATTTGCAAGAAAGATCTTTTTATCAAGTTTGTGCAGAACCAACTTTCAGAGTAGCAGACCACAAAGTCATTCATCCTTTGGTTTTGTTTGTTTCCCCCCCCCCCCCCTTTGGAAAATTGTATTTTGAATTAGCCTAAAGGCTTTTGAGATTTGGTGGGGGTTTGGCTGCATTCTATAGCCCACTGGCTTTATTCCCTATTTGCCCTCTCCCCCAGTAAAGCAAGCTTGGTCATAGCTGTTTAGAGGTAGTTTTGGTTTTATGTCAGCTTAAAGTATTGCCCTGTTCATTCTTGCCTGCTGCAGCTTTTCTACATGGCTACATGCATGATTCTTCTGGCAGCTAAAGCAGTTCCCTAGTCCCAGACTGCTGGTTCCCACCTTCTCGCCACCGTATCATCTGTGGCTGGTACAATTGTGTGTGTGGCTGTGTGCTGAACTGGATCGCAGAACTTGCTTTTTTGGATGGTGTAAAGACTGTTTAGTCTTGCTTAAATTATGCATATTTGGCTACCTGCAGAACTGAGTTCCTGCTGTATGTCCTGTAGGAGTCTCTTACCAACTAATTCTATATCAATTTATAGGAGATAACAGTGTAGGTAGTACAGACAGCAAAGCACTGAGATCCTGATTTTTTTTTTTTTTTTTGGTAAACTGTTTATTTTAACTTTTCTATGATTATGCTGTCCTTTCAAGACATCTGAACTGAAAAGCTTAAAAAAGGTGGATGATCTCTGTGGTGTTACGGGGCCTCAATTACATGTCAGCAAGAGATGTCCGTTTCAACTAATCTAACATTCTTTGGGACCAGAACTGGAAAATACTTTGTGCCCATCTTATAGGAGGGAGAGGAATCTAGGAATTAAGAATGCAAGTGTAAGCAAAGTAAAAGTCATGTTACTTAAGTTTTGAGACATTCTTGGGTGCTTTTTTTGCATTCTTCGTACATAATCGTGGCTGTTGCTGTGTGTTCAAGTATTAAAAAAGCAATTGTGAGATTGCTTGTAAAATGCAGTGTTTCTGACTGATCTGTGCTACTCAAGTTATTGTATATAAAAATCCTAATATTTGAGCTTGATGCTTTCTCCACCTACCCTTCCTTTCTGTGTGAATTGTTTTATTGAACAGGAAGTGCTTATTCACTTTTCCTGAGAATGTATTGTTGATAGAAAACTTTTCTTTTAAAAACTAAAACCATCTTCTTTTAGTCAATGGAGAATACTACTTAGTTAGGTTTGTCTACAGCTTGCATTTCTCTGTTAAGTTAACAAAAGTGACAGGTTGTTTCTTGAGTGCTAGTTTACCTAATAGGAGATGCTTGAGTTCTGCCAAGTACCCAGTAACTTATTCTACAGTATATTGCAACATGAACAATATTTATCTGGAACTGCACTAATGATGGTAAGAAATATGTATTTAACAATTCAAATTCTTATCTAGATGAACTTTTTTTGAGAGTTTTTTTTGTAAGGAAAGACCGGATATACCTCTTGTATTGGTTAAGTCCTAGAGAAGATGGAAAGTACCACCTCAAAATACTACATTCTGAAAGCTGCAGGCATCAGATACAGCACTGTTAAGAAAACTTCCAAGAGCATTAATGCCAATGAATTTGCTGTATCAGTAACATTCTCAGAAATCATAGTACTGTGTGGCCCCAGGGACTTCTTTGTAGCTGAAATAACTTCTTTAGCCTCATATTCATAATTCTGGTTTTTCTGTCAAACTTTTTGAAATTGCTGTAAATCCTCAGTCTCTACTTCTTGTGTCCATTAGGCAGTTGTTTTATTCTTATTTTAAAAGAGAGATATGAAGTTATGATTGGAAGTAGTTGGTCCTTTACTGTGTTGCTGTTGTTGGTACTGTTGTGCAGCAGCTTTCTGAAGATGTGTGATTTCCAACTACCACATTCCCCTTTTCAGGGAATCAGATTAATTTATTTAAGGGGAAACAGTATACTGAGGTGTGGGGTTTTTTTCCCCTAAATTTACATGTCTATGTATAATTTTTTTGCTGTTGCCCATTGTCATGGTAGTGTGTACTGTCTCTATACTGTAAAATGTTCAGTACGGACTAGAAAACAACTTCTCAAACTGTTGGGTTTTTTTGCAAATATATTAAAAATTCAGTAGATGACTCATTTGCAAATGCTTGATAAAACTCCATGAGACAGACCTTTATCCTTCTAAATAAGGCTTATTTTTAGCTTGTGTTGTACTTCGCAAAGGACTTCTTGATATTCCTGTGGCATTGGCTGACTTTACTGGAAATACCTTACCATTCTCGCCTCATTCATCCCATGTCTTCAGGATCTTACTAAGTTGTTACAGAGAGCAAGACTGTAGACGGCTTTGTCCTGGTTTAGCTGCAATGAAAAGCTGGTGCTATTTGGTAATTAATTTCAAATTTAATAGCACATGTTTTTATCCAATAGTAAATTTAATGTCAGAGCTGCATAATCTTATAATAAAGCTACATAAGGTTGCCAAATGTAATTATAGCTGACATTTCTGTGAAATGTAGACAGCTTACAGTTTTAAAATGACCAAACCAAATAGCTAAAATAATTGCAAGAAAAAGGGGGATTTGTTTTATGGTTTTGTTTAAACTCCCTCTTCTGTGTCTCCTAGCTTTTTAGTTGGTGAAGGAGCTTACAGATGGGCAGTTGATCACGGGATACCAGCATGTCCTCCAGGTATCATGGCTACAAGTGAGTAAACTGGTGGTGTCAGTAGGAAGAACAGGACAGAGTAATTTTAAATAGTGCCTCATATTTTGAGGTGTACATCACTTCACTGTTCTTAACATTCAACTAGCTTATGGTATTATGGTATATAAGGATGGTTTAAGTTTACTAACTTTCTATTAAGTATCTAAATAGAAAAAATTATGAACAACTACTTCGGCTGCGTTTTAGCAACATCTAATTCAAGTGACTTTGTGACTCTAGGATTAAATCCAATGAAGGACTTTTTTAACCGACACCTAGGCTCTTTAACAGCTCAGTCCTGCAAGTCTACAGTTGTGATCCATCTTGGATCCTAAAAGCACGAACTAGCCGTGTATCTAAATTCAGCAGGTGCCAGTGTGACTCTCAGATTCTATAGTTACACCTGTCTCTGAGTCTGAGTCCAGAACTGCTCTGGTGTAAATAGGCTGTCAAATTCATTTGCCTTTTTTTTTTTTTTTTTTTTTTAAACCTAGGTAGGCTTTGCTTCATCTAATATGGTGGAATACCCCAATCCAGAAAATAGACTTGGATTATACTGTATACTAGCAGTAGTCAGGTCTTTTACAAAAACTTTTTTTCTTAAAATAAAAGAAGTGATTATGTTATATTGATACACCATCTATAAAGTAGGCTAAAAATTAGTCCACTAACCCATTGAAGGGAGGATGTGGTTCCCCTTCCTTCTCTTCTGCAGTCCCCTCCCTTTGGGAAAGTGCACTTAACTGCTAGTCTGTAGTTTGCTATAGATGAAAGCATGCCCTACACTTCCTGTTGAAGTTATGCAGGAAAGAAATCAGAGGTCATTATGCAAAGAAGAAGGAGAACACAGAAAATTACCGAATGTTTCTTTATTTTACACTAAACAGTATTACTGCATAAAATATATGAGTAGTCCATAAACCAGAGATTGAAACCCAGGGCTCCCATTAAGGCTTTTATTGTGTCTAGTTCTAAATGTAGATAAACATCCAGAAGGTAGTTCAAAGTTTCTAGTACTCAATGCTTAAATGTAATCCCTGAAACAGTGGCACCATTTTACTTGGATCATGCCAGTTTTCATACATACTCATGATACATTTCATTTTGAACAGAAAGTCTTGATTTCTAGTTCCACATGACTGAAACTTTTGCCCTATCCATCTGCTGTCCAGAACAGCATTTGCAGACCAACTTTTGGGCTCAGTTAAGCAGAATGCCTTTATTTCTGTGACTCTAGAAAGACATTTAAATGGGGGGAGTTGTGTGGTTGGTTTGTTTTTTGTTTTTTTTTTTTTTTTTTAACAAAGTAGTTGCTACTTATGTGTAGGAGATACTCCAGAGGAGAGGTTTGTTGACTAATTCTGTTTGCATGCATAAACATTTCCATTGTTTCTAGTACCAGTGTGTTTCTGTTGTGACAGAGATGATGAGATTGTAACATTAATTGTCAGATGATATCTTACTAGGTAAAATGCACCCTGGTTTGGTTTACCTAACCCAGACTATGAATTTGTGTTGGAGAAACATGAGAAGAATAATCCCAGCCAATGTACTTTCACAAACCTGTTCCAAAACACCAGTGACTTCTTTTTGTCTCCTCAGTACATTCAGCATAGTTCTGTTTAGCAAAACAATTTGCATTAAAACAATTAAAATAACCAGGACTGGGAAGTTAATCCTATTGCAAAGTCAATGCAGAAATGCCATTTGCCAGTGCAATGTCAATGAAAAAAATACTGGTATTGAAGTTGCCAGCCCTCCTCTGTTCTCCACATCCCCTGTTTCCACCCAGGTTTGTACATACTGAAACACACACCTACATGGCTATATGCTTGAGCCATTGCACAGGATGGACCTGCTCTAGGAATGAACTGGTGCTCTGAAGCAGGCTGTGACTGTTAAGACTTGAGTGTAGATTGTGAATGTTTTGCTGGAAGAATGATTTCAGATTAGGGTAGTTGAAGGATATGCTGAAAAATCAGTGGCAGAGATATTCTTTGTAATACTGAGCAAATTACTTAAAACTGAATTCTTCACAGATGTTCTCTAATTCTGTTGCTTGACCTTAGCATAAATGTTTATGTCTATGTTTAACTGGATTTGCAGAAAGGAGGTATTTGACTATTATAGTCTTGTGCTTCAGTTTCCTTCTCAAAAAAGATGAGATGGCAGTGTCTGCTATTTAAATGCCTGAAATGGATACGCAGGAAAACAATACTAGCTTACATTAAGACTGCATTATTAACCATTCTGAGAGGCACCTGGGAAAAGAGTGCTTGAGCAACTTAATTTGTCATTTTTCCTAAGATTTGGGTACACTCAATTTTGCACTATAAACATTAATGGTAAGATCAAACAAAAACCTGAAAAATCAGTTCCAGAATATGTTATGCTGATTTCCATGCCAGTCCTTAGCAAAGCTAGCCTTGTAATGTGTAGACTTCTGGTCAGTGAGGCTGGAAAGTGATCATTAACACCATGTGTGACAACATAGGATTGTTACAGCTGAAAAGAAATTGGAAACTGTCTCACAGGTAACATGTAAGAAAGCCAAAATGTTTTTTCCAGTGTTACCAGGGGAGGGAAAGTTAGATGTGCTTCAGAAACAATTAAAGAGAATGTTGTTTCCAAGCAACCACTAAAGATCTGCATTAAATAGTGTAACAGACTTTAAAAAAAAAAAAGGGGGGGAGACTTTTTGATTATGCTTGCTACAATTGCTGTGGTAGAGTTTGCATGGAGAATTGGGGGTAAATTAACTTGAAATTGCATGACTGTTGAATAGCTCTGTAAAATGAGGGGGTTGGAGTAGATGACCTTTAAAGGTCCCTTCCAACCCAAACTATTCTATGATCCTATGAAGAACTGAAGTAATTGCCAAACATCAGGAAAATACGTTTAGTAACTTAATTACAAAAAACCAAACCCAACCCCCCAAAAACCCTAATCCAAATCTTGGACATGTACTTGCAATAAGTATCAGCAGGGAGAACTAGGTGCATATGTTTTGGCTTCTCTGTGCTGCACATGGAAAATGTATTCTTGAAGTCGCGTTATTCTGTCTCCCTTTTCCCGGACCTGAGACGGCCAGAGTAATGTTAGACATGCTCTAAGGCTGTGGGATTGTGTGGTTGGTTTTGCACGGATGGAGCTCTCCATATGTTCAGTTACAAAGAAAGTTGCATGATCAGCTTTGTGGTCACACTCCATAATTCTCTTGGAACTATCACAGTATGTGAGCACCAAACTGAAATGATGTTTTAAACCATGTTACTTGTTGAACTACATCAAGGTTATGTCAAGGCTCACCTGCTTTGTCGTCTTTGGTTTGCCAAGTGTGCGAGGAAATGGGATTTCTACTGTTTTGAGAAATCTGGTGGCTTTCCAGTGTAGTGAGTGGTTTGGGGTTTTTTGTATGGTTTTTTTTTTTTTTTAAAAAAAAAACTGAAATGTGATCTGCCTGTATTGCCTACAGTGTGCAAGAAAGCTGAATTTATTAATTCCTGCCCATACTAAAGCTTAATTCCTGCCAGTACTAGAGCCCTTGCTAGCTTATGCTAGAGCTTTGTTACCCTGTGCAAGAGAGACTGCTTTTAAAGTGTGATCAAAGTTTTAAGAGTGTAATTACAGTTCAGAAATGCTAATTTACTGTATCATGCAACCTCTTAAAAATGTTAAAAGGATACTTTAAATAGGCAATGTAAATTTAAGGTACAGCTTCAACTGTCAGTATCTGTGCCTGCACTAGTAATAACTGAACCACTTTTATCTGAATTTTTCTGTTCAGCCTATAGTAGATGCAAAGCAATTGATTTGGCAAAGACAACGTGATGTAAGACAGCATCTTACAATTGCTTACGATGTTAAGTCTTCAAAGTTTGGGAAAGAGAAGCGAGGTAACTACTCATACAGCAAGCTTGTACCTCTAACTCTTAATAATGTGGAAGTGACGTAAGTACTTCAGTAATTTATAGTACATACGAACAAAAGCAGCTGCAGTGGATCCACATAGCTTGATAACTGGAATCTAAGAGTAGCCACAAATGATGCTTAAGGAAGACTATAAGAACAGAGCAAACATATACTTCCCTTTACCTACTCCATTTGTTATCCCAGACCCTACATTCCTGAGTCATGACTGGTTCCTGCATACACGGAGGTAATCAGTGGCATTTTCTGCCATGAAATTGTTTCCTCTTGAGCCCATATTAATTTCCAGCATCTGCAAAAACCTTTACTGCTTAACTATGAGTTGTGTGAAGAACTACCCCTTTTTCATTATTTTGAGACTTGCTGAATAAAACCTGCTGTTTTATTGTCAGGTCGCTAAGAATCCTTCTTCACTCAAGTCCTCTTATTACCTTGAATAACTTAGTGTCATCAGTAAAATCACATCATGTTGTTGAATAGAGTAGGTGGTACTATAGGTTGATTTGGCATTCCACTTGTAACAAGATGTTTATTTACTCTGACTTTGTTTTCTATTTTTTTAACAAATTTTGTGTGTGCAAGGATATTCCTTTTTATCTTATGGCTGCTTTAATGAGGGAGAGCCTTTTCTAGATAAGTTATGCAGATTGTCATACTTCTAGTGACACTGTATGTCTCCCTGCCCACCAATATTGCCTGCCTAGCCTGCCTGTCCTCCAAACCCCCAAATCTCACCTCACCCCCAGTCCTCTCCTCCACTTCACTGTTACTGAGTTAAGAAAAACATTTGCCATGTTGCTGGAACTGTGCTACGAGGTTCAGTCAGTGGCTCAGGGCAGTGGCTTAGACCCTGTTTTGTTCCTTTGTTTTTAGGGTGAGAATGAAAGAGATCTCAAGAGAAGCTCAAGGGTTTGGGGGATTTGATTAGGAAGCTTGGTTAATCTGAAGGCACATCTGGTTTTAGGAAACTAAGAGGTATCTCTCAGATAGAAGATGCTTGTCTCCTAACAGTGAAAGTTGCTACCTCTGTTCATAATACGCAAAGTAAATGAGCT